GGTGGGGAGGTGGCAGGAGAGGGAGAGGAAGGTTCAGTTGCACGTGGTGCTATGGGATTTGGACTCGATCCCCAGAATAATAGGTGCTGCTGAAGGGTTTTAACTGGGACTGACCCCATGGCCATATATTTGGGGTATGGTCTGCTAATTTAACTGGGAAGGAGAAGCACTCTGTAATTCCCCTATTAAACAGTTTGGAGCATAAACCAATCTAAAGGATATAAAATCAAGTAGTTAAAAAAAATAAAGGACTGAGATCTGGAAACAACTAACATCTATTGAGTGCCTACTATGTGTCGAGAATTTTCACAGTGTAGTATTCATGCTGTCAGTATGTGGTCAGATATTTTTACATGACATAAAACCTCTCAATAACCCTATTACACAGGTATGATTCCTGTTTTATAGATGAGAGAAAGGAAGTTCAGAGGGTTTAGGTGATTTGCCCCAAGTCCAAAAGCTACTTAGCGACAGGGCTGTGATTGTACTACAGATTTTGTGTTTCCAAATCTGGGAGTCTTTCTGCCTCTCCACAGCTGTGTGTCCTTATAAAAGGAGATAGTTCCCAGCCTGGGGAGGAGGGAAGGCTCGTTCTTGGCCAAGTTTCATTTAATTTTCCATCAGTAGGTGTCAACTGTGAACTAGTCAGAAATGCTAAAATAACAGCTTAACAACATAGGAACAGAAATGGAAATGTAATTTTAGCGTGCCTCACCAGCCCCTCCTGAAGATCAGTGCTGCTTATGGAGTATCTGTTACAGAAATGTAACACTTAAGGACTAAACTCACAGGAGTTGCTGGTGATGTGCAATTTAGCAACTTGGGCTGTTAAAGAAGAAGGGAGAGAGAAAAAAACAACTCCACAAGCAGAAAATTGAAAACAAAAGGAAATGGAGAAAAAAAGGCCACATAGCGTCTCTGCCGCTGGTTGTAGTCCCTCCTAATGGCCTGGGAAATAGCTTGTTGAATAAAAAAGCTTGCCTACAAGAAACATTAACGCAGAGATGCACACTTGGTGGAAAGGGAGGCTGGATTTTGCCAGTCAGGCATCAGGGCCTTTGACTGGTAGATTAGCAAGTACCCTTTCAGCCCCTGCTATGCGGCAGGTCCGGCGCGGGCCGGTGGGGCTTGGAGTGAGGCACGGGCCGCGCTCTTGCCCAGGCATCTCCTGCGGCAACGGGGATGCAGCACCCACTGGCACCAACGAACGGGTAACACAGATGCAAGACGAGAAACAGGGACGTGTGCAAACAGGGACCTCACACTGCTGCTGAGGGCAGGGAAGGGGCACAGCTCTGGTCTGGGAGGGCTGAGGAAGGTGACCTCGGGGGCCTGCGGCACGGCTTCCAGTCTCAGCCCTGGCCCTGTTTACTGTGTGAATTGGGACAAACCGCTTCGCCTTTCTGAGTCTCAGGTTCCTCACAGAAGGAAAAGTGGGAGTTTTATTGGAAAGTTTCTAAGGCCCCCTGTAGGCTCTGACACCCGTGATTCTATGACTTAGAAGTAGTATTAAGGCTCTTTAGTTGCCAGTGACAGAAATCCAGTTCCAGCCAAGCTTAAAGTAGCATGCAGTGGTTTAGGTAATTGGGAAGTCCAAAGGGAGGGCTCAGTTCAGGCATGGCTAGATCCAGGGGCTCACGAAGGGTTCCTGAGGCTCTGTCTCCACCCTCTCCATCCCGTGTTTCTGCTTTCTTTTCTCTGTGCTGGCCTGTCTTTCCAACTGAAAGGGACAGTTCTATTCCAACAGACTAGGCCCTAGGAGCCCAACCCTACCCAAGCCACAGGGAACGGGTTTCTTCTAGAGCAGAAGGCTTTGGGCACCAGCTGAAGGGATAGGATTGTGGCAGGCAGAAATGACAGATGATCTCCACATGTCCCTTGAATGTATTTCAGGTCAGATGAGCAAGTTGGGGAGGGGAAAACATTCCAAGGAAATCTACAGGGTCAAAATTGTGCCATAACCCTGGCTAGAACATTTGTGGGGCCCAGGGCGAGAGTACAAATGGGGGCCATAGACCATGTGTCTAAATAGTAAAAAGTCATAACTCACACTAGCAACCTCTTAAATAAAATAGGTTTGTCTGCTTATCTGCACACGTATATCTTCATAATGATCTGGAAGGCAGCTTCTGATTTATTAGGTCATTAAATATAAAATGTCCAATTTTGCATCAAAAGTGTAGTTTATTATATCTCAAACAAGAAGCAGTATAATTAGGCAGAGTATGTACCAAAGCTGTTGACGCAGTTTTGCCATCTTAATGGTAGCTTGTTTATGCCAGCAGCAAAGAAGCCTGAAGAGTGAGTGGTGATGAAATTGAGAAAGGTATTTTCCACAGTTTGTTGAGAATTGAATATTTTTCCTTGCAAGAAGTGGTCCAAAGCCTGGAAGAAGTGGTAGGCAGTTGGTGCAAGTTCCGGTGAATACAGTGGATGACAGAGTTTCTGAGTCCAGCTTCTGTAGTTTGGGCAGCATTGTTTGTGCAATGTGTGGTCGAGTGTTATCTTGCGAGACGATTGGCCTGTCTCTACTCACCCATCTCAGCTGCTTAATCACAAGCATCCTCATCATTTCGTCCAAATGGTTGCAGTAGACATCCTCTGGAATCGATTGATTAGGTCTCATGAAGCTGTAATACCAGTGTTGAACCACCCACAGACACCAGTATAGCTTTTTTTGATGAATATTCAGTTTTGGACTGTGTTTCAGCACTTCCTCTTTATCCAACCATTGTGCTGAATGCTTGTGATGGTCAAAAAGAATCCATTTTTCATCACATGTAACAATATGGCATAGAATTGGTTTGCCTTTATGTCGTGACAGCACACAAAGGCAAGCTTCGAGATAACTTCTCTTCTGACACTTATTTAATTCATGCAGAACCCATCTGTCCAGCTTCACCTTGCAGATTTGTTTCAAATGATCCAATATTATTGGAATAGTAACGTCAAACGTTGCTGCTACCTCACCGTAGGTTGAGATGGATTCGCTTCCACTATAGCTTCGAGCTCATCATTATCCGCCTTGGTCTCAGGTCACCCACGTGGCTCACTTTGAAGATTAAAATCACCAGAACAGAACTTCTGGAACCATTGATGTACTGGGTGTTCATTAGTCACATCCTTCCCAAACACTTTGTTGATATTTCGAGCTGTCTGCGCTGCATTGGTTCCATGATTGGAACTCATGTTTGAAAATAACACAAATTTTTGACTTATCCATGTTTTCACAAAAAATGCTCTAAAACAATTTGAAAAAGAATCACAAGCCAAACCATGTGTTTGAAAGAATGAGGATGTACCCTCACAATAAACATAAAACAAAAAGTGACAAAGTGAAATGTCAGAGATATCAACGTCAAACTCAGTTCTTAAGGAAATTGGACATTTCATACTTAATAACTTTAATAGAATTTTCAGAATCCTTCGAATTTTGCACTGGAGTGAGATGGATCAGGGAGAGAGCCTGTAGCCCATCCCTTCTCTTCCCACCTCTGACTCCATCCCACACTGTGTGGACACCTTAGCCCACACATCCAAGGTCTGAACACAACCCCAGGAAACAGCTGGCCTGGGTGTGCACTCTGACCCTGTCCATGTTCAGCAGGACCAGCGGGGCAGGAGGGATGAGGAAGGCCCTGGAAGGGGGCTGCACAGTTGAGCAGTGAACCCTGGGGTTCTAGATCCTGGAGGGTGGCCTGGACGGGAGCATGTAAGCTCCAGGTGGCAGGCCCCTTGGCCCTAGTGACTGCTTGGTGCAAGGGGAGGGGTATGGCCAGAAGAAGGGTCAGAATGAGGCTTTTACAGCCCGGGTCCGGAGCAGGGGCCTCCTTGCCTGGTTCCAGGCCTGGAAATGGGGTGGGGGGCTGAATGAGCGTAGCCAGGTGGGGTCACAGAGAAGCAGTCAATTTGGAGGATAGAGCCAGAAAAATACATCTGAGCTTAAATAAAGAAGGCATTGGGCTCTAGGCTATGGGATTGGACTTGTTCCTCTGGACAGTGAGGAGCCCTGGGGGTCTGAGCAGGGGCCTGGCAGGACCACACCCAGGTCCAGGGTGACCTCCTGATCCCAGACTGGTAATGCTCCCCCCGTCCCGCCCTCCAGTCCTTACAAGAGGGGCTTCCTGTGTCTGCAGCGTCTTTCACTTGGGCTCCTTGAGAGTCAGCTTTGATGTGAGGACAAGTCTTTTGAGGGGACCTTTCCCTGAACCTCAACCCTTGCCCCTTGGGTGCCCTTCATCAGAGAGCATACCGCGTCGTCCTGCGATGGCTGGCTTGGTGTTGCCTCCTGTGGCCGGGTCTCACTCCTGCAGCATGGGGACTTCTACAATCAGGCCTCCAAAATATTGGTAGAAGGAAGGGGATTAATGCAAGTGACTAATCCAAGGGAGGTGAGGGTAGGAGAAAGCATTTTGTAGAAAATATTTCACTTAACGCCCCAGGGACATCTTCCCTTCAAAAACACATCTAGAACCCAACCACTTCCACCACCGTGTTGACCGGCCTAGGAGCCGCTGCTGTTGCGACCTGGGTTTACTGCTGGCCTGCTCCAACCCAGCGGCTCGTTCAGTGTTGTGGCGCATCATCCGCCGCGGTCCCCCATCTCAGAGCTGGGTGGAGGGCTGCACTGCGAGTGCCAGGGTCTGCAGGAGGGTCCCCTTCTTCTGAGCTCTTCTGCCACCTTGCCCTCCCTCGAGGGTGACCAGCTGTCCCTGTTTGCCTGGGACAGTTTGGCTTTAAAACTGAAAGTTCCAGGGATCTCCTCGTCCTGGGCACACCTGGCTGTCAGTCCCCATGTCCCCTCCACTCAGCCTCACTGCCCCAGGTCCTTTCTGTGTGCCGCTGCCCTCCTCTCTGGGGCTGGGGGCTTCCTGCGTATGGCCCTGCCATGCTCTACTCCTCTTTCCCTCCTAAACTTTTTCTCCTTAGCAGTGATCACTCATTAGCATACTGTCTATTTTGCATATTTATCTTATTTATTGTCTGTTTCTCTCTACCAGAAACTGGAATGTTTTATCTCCTATGTCGCCGATGTCTCCCAGCGCCTACAACACTGCCAGGCACGTAGCTGGAGCTCAGTAGAAACGGTTAAAGGATGAGCTGGCCGGCTGGTCTCCAAACCAGCGCTTCTCGGGCCCAGCGCGCACCTGGGAAATCGTTCAGCTGCAGACGCCGCTCCCGGAGGGCTGGGGTGGCCTGAGAGCGAGCGTTCAGTCCAGGATGGAGGCTGGGGTGGCCTGAGAGCGAGCATTCAGTCCAGGATGGAGGCTGGGGTGGCCTGAGAGCGAGCATTCAGTCCAGGATGGAGGCTGGGGTGGCCTGAGAGCAAGCATTCAGTCCAGGATGGAGGCTGGGGTGGCCTGAGAGCGAGCGTTCAGTCCAGGATGGAGGCTGGGGTGGCCTGAGAGCGAGCGTTCAGTCCAGGATGGAGGCTGGGGTGGCCTGAGAGTGAGCATTCAGTCCAGGATGGAGGCTGGGGTGGCCTGAGAGCGAGCATTCAGTCCAGGATGGAGGCTCTCAATGGTGGTCCCTCTTATCCTCTCCCGTGTGTCCCCTCCCCTCCCTGGGAAGGAGGGGAGTTTGGGTTCGGAGGCAGGGCCAGGGCTCCTCGAGTGAGGGGAGCAGGTGGGACGGACGGACTCTGCGAGGAGGGCTCTGCCGTGACGGGGTGCACCAGCAGCTGGCCTGTCAGACTGATTGACGCAGAGACGAAAATGGCCGGGACCAAACCTTCCCGGTTCTGTGCTGGCTTTCAGAAAGAACCTTCCCCCTCCCACTGCTCTTCCCTGGCTCTACAGCTGGCTCCAACGAGCAAAAGATTTCTCTCCAGAGCCGGCTCTGTGTGGTGGTGCACCTGCTGCGGCAGCTGTCACCGCGGCTCCCGGTAATGGCACAAATGGGGCCTCTAATGCACGGCCCGGGCCTGGCTGGCAGCGGCGGGGCTGGCAGAGTGGGCTGTGTAGACGGATGGGAATTCTGCCAACCCCTGGGATCCAGGCTGCACTGTCAGTCAGCCGGACGGCCAGACAGACAACCAACTCAGAAGCCGTCACCCGCACAGCAGCTTCAGGGACGTGGGGCAGCGTGGCCAGGTCTCAGCACTCCAAGAGGTCACGGTGTAGTCGAGGTGGGAGACTCGGATGTAGACAAGACTTGAAGAATGACACAGGGCCCTGGATAAAACCCAGGCCTGAGCTGTGGGTATGGAACCAACCAGAAGAGCTGCGGGAATTCTGATGAACTGGAGTGTTTCTTCTCCTCCTAAATATTTTGATGAAATTTCATAGAGCATTTTAAATTTAAAACTGAAATACTCTCTGTCAACAAATAATGCATGTGCTCATTAGAAAAATTGCGACATGTAGAAGCTTCTTAATTTATGAAAACAAAATAAAATCATGGGTGGTACTGACATTATCTACTATTGCTGAGCACTCTTAAGGATTATAAGGGTTTGCATTTACTTGTGCTGATAATTTTTGGAATTTCTAGCTTTTTAAAAATATTTATCTGCTCAAATACTTACCTACAAGTTACTAAGGTGGACGCTGAAGCAGGTGCTGGTCACAGCTGCAGGCACGGAGGATACTGTTTATGGCCAGCACATAGCCTCACTGAGTCCCCACGACACACATGGGGTCGTGGTGGTGGTTGGCCATGGAGCCACCCAGGTTCCATTTGCCCTTCACTGGTCACCGTGTCCTGCTTCCCCTAGGGGCTGGACCCCATCCTGCTCCACTGCCATTCCTTGTGCTTCTGGAAGGTGACTCTGCTGCAGTGCAGAGATGTGACATGGACTCAGGCCTGGCCAACCAGAGCATTTCCCTGGCCATCATGGTTGGTTCAGGATGGCCACTTGACCCAAAGAGAGCCAAGGATGCTTGGGAACAGGGTCTGACTATTCCCTGAAGGATGTGAAGCTGAGCGGATTTAGGAGTTTCTGCCTCTAGCTTGTGACCCCTTGAAGCGAGCCTGTTTGGGGGCGGTGGGTGGGGGGTGGCGAGCCGAGGTGGGGCGGGGGGCTGAGGCCGGGGCTGTTGGCCAGTGTTGTTGGGCTTTGTTGCGTGGGTTTGTTGTGTTGGTTTTTTGTTTTTTTCTTTTGTTATTTTCTTCTTTGATTGTCTTGGTTGTTCCGTTGGTAGTTCCCCTTGCTGCTCCGACTGGCCTAGCTGGGGGCTGTTGGTTGTTTGTGCTGGTTTTTTGAGGTTGTCTTCTCAGGTTTTGTTATCGTGTGTGGGCAGAAGGATGGATGATAGTGCAGTTTCTGCCTGGATGGCTGGGCGGATGGTGGAGCCCTTCCCAGAGAGAGCCTTCGGGAGAAGAGCTGACCTGGAGGAAGGGTAATGAATTCAGCTTATGCAACACCCAGGTGCGAGTGGAGCCTGGAATTCTAGAGAGTGGATTGGAGGCAGGGGTTTGGAAGCAAAATAAAACCAACCAACCAACCAACAGCACGTCAACAACAACGACAGCAAATCACCCCTGGCAGGGAGCTGTGTGGTAGGTGGCATTACCACAGGTGACCCAGGTTTCCCTGTGCAAGGGTTCCTTTGGCCCTCAGGTGCAGAGGGTTGAGCTAACTTATTCCTCAGGTCATAGCACCCCGGTATTACTGGTCTCTATATGTTTCTTTACTCATTTAACCCTTTAATCCCCATTCCCCTCTCCCATTCCTCCCCACCCCCACACAGGTAGCCATTTTAATATAATAGATTTAACACATATCTTCTTTGTATGTGTTCTTGCAAAATGTGTTTTGTCATTGCTTGATCTGCATGTATCTTTCATTTATATCAATGGGGTGGTGCTATAGAGTGATACCACGTTTTTAAGATCCACTCATATTTCCATGTGTACATTTAATCCTTTTCTTTTACCTGCTGCTCAATACTCCTTAGTGTATATCCGCCACTCGTCCCTCTCTGCCGGGGAGCTTCCACTTTCGGGCACTCTGAACGATGCTATGGGGACCACCCTTGCATGCATTAATTTGGGGTCCTGGTGAGGAGTGCTGTGGGCCCGTGTGGTTGTGGGAGAGCCCAGTGCGTCTCGCCTCCTGGAATCCATGCTTTCCCACACTGAATAGGGCTGGCCTGTGGAACAGGTAAGGTATTACGCAAAGGATGGAGGGTGACTTCCAAGGCTAGGTCATAAAAGAGATTACAGCCTTGCTCACTCCTGTCCACCCTGGGGGACAGCAGCTGCCACGTTGTGAGGACACTGAAGCGTGGGGAGGAACACGTGGTGAGAAGCCGCCTCCTGCTAACATCCTCCTGCACTGGCTCACGGTGTCACTGAGCCACCCTGGGAGTGTAGCCTGCAGTCTCTGTCACAACCTCAGGTTACTGAGGCCAACTGACATCCCGACCACAAGTTCTTGAGAGCCAGAAGCATCCAGTACAACTGCTCCCAAATTCCTGACTCACAGAAACTGAAATAGGAGATGTTTATTAATGTTAAGCCACTCAATTTCGAGACCATTTGTTATGCAGCAGTAGATAACTCATACGACCCAGGAGGGGAGTTGCTGGGTTGTAGGGTGTGCCTGTATAATTTTTGATCATGTGCATAGTTTGGAGAAATCAATATACTTTTAAATTTGTAGTGAAGTTGGTTATTTGGGTGGTGGGAAGGAGGTGATGGATTCCCCTCTGCATGAGGCCCTGGAATGGTGTCAGACTTTGTTGAATGCCACCAGGGGAAGATTGTCTGAGCCAATGGTCAGCATCTCCAGAGAATTCCCAAAGGATTGTTCAAGACTCCAAATCCCAGAGAACTGTCCATTGTGAGTCAGAGCACCCTCGGCCTTGGCTGGAGCCAACAAGAGCCTGGGGACCCTGGTGTGAGTTGACTGTCCCCTCTGGACCCGATGGCATTACTGGCTGACGTAAGTGCAGTGGCATTTGGCCAGGCAGTTGAAGAGCTTCCATTTGCAGATTGAAGTGACAGAAATTCATTTTCTCTTATTTTTCCAATCTCCGTCTGGAAAATAGATTCCTGCAGTGTCATTTCTTTGCTCATTCCAATCTTTGTTAAGGAAATGAAGTGCCGGAGTTGCGTGTCCTTTCAGAGTGCCTTAGCAATCTCTAGGCAGTCTGGCCACTTTGATGTCCCAGACCGTTGGAAATTGAGCTGCTCCAGCCAGGGATTTTTCCATTTCAAATTGTGCTTCACTTTACAGGGTTTATTCACAAGACACAACAGAGTCCCCACTGTCATATGCGTATGTGACAGTTTCTGTTGCAACACCCCGATGGTCCTAGGACTATGCAGCACCTTGTGATGACAGAGCTAGTATGCGGCAGACCGAAGATTCTAGGGGAAGTGACTTGCCCGAGGTCTCCAGTGCAGAGCTGGTGTGACCCTCCAGGGCTTCTGAGCCCTGATTCTCTCTGCACGCTACCCTCACCACACCCCTAGGAGCTGAAGGTGCTATCGCCACTTTGTAAATGAACAGACAGGTGCAGAAGGTCAAGTTGCAGATCCAAAGCCACAGTAAGGGACCATGTGGGGATGCTAAAGTTTCTGTTCTTTCTCCCCTCCCCTCATGCCCTCCACCCATCCTTCCATCCCTGTGCTTTAGACATTTCTCAGCATGTCCTTATAAAGTTAAACAGCATTATTGTGTGACCCAGCCATTCCACTCCTAGGCATATACCCAAGAGAACTGAATGGAGGGATTTGAACAGATACTTGTATGACAATGCTCATAGCAGCATCATTCACAACAGCCGCAGGTGGAAACAGCTCAAGTGTCTGTCCGTGGAAGAATGGATAAACGAAATGTGGTATATCCATACGATAAAACAATATTCAGCTTTAAAAAGGCATGGCATCCTGTCACATGCTGCAATGTGGATGAACCTGGAAAACATTATGCTAAGTGAAAGAAGCCAGGCATAAAAGGACAAACATTGAATGATCCCACTTACATGAAGTGCCTAGAACAGGCAACTTCGCAGAGACAGAAAGTAGAGCAGAGGCTACTGGGGGCTGGGAGGGGCCGGGGAGTCACTACTCAACAGGCACAGAGTTTCAGTGTGGGGTGATTACAAAGTTCTGGAAATAGTAGTGATGGTTGCATGACATTGGGACTTTACATAATGCTGATGAATTGTAACAATGATAAATTTTATACTGTGCATATTTTATTACAACAAAAGAAATTTAATTTAAAAAATGTGCCTCAGACCGTGCTGTATTGTAGTTTTCTTTTCAGAAAAGGGTGTCCTCACTGGGGGCCATGGGCTCCTCCAGAGCAAGACTGTCTTGTCTTCATCTCTGGCTTTCAATCTACCCCCTCCCCTAAATTTGCCTCGTGTTGGGGTGGGGGATGGTTCAACGGGTGTCAGCTCTGCCCATCTATTAGCCTGGAGGCTGGTGGGCCCCTTCTTTGTGGCTAGCAGACCTGAGGTTGCCAGCTTCATAATGTGAGTATAAATAACGCCTCTTCCTACAATGGCCCAAAGAGCAGGGTTTAAGCCCCCACACGCTCAGATTCCCTGGGAGCCTCATCTCTCTCTCTCTCTTTGGTCCCCTTCTTCCAAACATCTGGACATTTTCCAAAGTTACAAAGGGTGAGTCCAGTCTGTTCACAGAGCCGGAACAAAGTGGCAGCTACCTGAAGCCAGAAGATGCTTCACTGATCTAGAAACTGCAGCCCCCCCGGGACCTGCCAAGTCAGGGACAGCTGACGTCTGTGGCTGGGGCCCAAAAAGATGTTCAGCTGACTGCAGCTGCTGGCTCTCGAGGGTGGCTCCTCCGATCAGGTCTGAAATGGGCTGGACCAGGGGCCCTGGTGGCTGCTCCCAGCACCAGTACAGACCTAGTTCAGGTTTGGAGATTCTCAGAGGGTGAACACAGCGATGCCAGGGTCCCACTCTCAATGCCACACCTGGCCGAGGAAGCTCTAAGTGTCAATCAATGAGGAAACTGTTGTTTACAAGTTCAAGTCAAATTAGTCTGCGGAGAGGCAGAAAAAGAGTTTACTGACTCTCATCAACAGCCAGTCCAGGGACTGGTTTCTGCATGGTGGAACCAGGGGCCAGTTGAACTCATCAGACTTCTCTCTTTTCCCTAGCTTCGCCGGTCTCCAGTTGCTTTATCCCCTACGTGGGTCATTTCCATGGAGCAGGCACGATGGTGACTGGCAGTTTCGGACTCACATTCTCTGAATTTAGCAATAACAATTGAGACGGGTCATCTTCCCTGTTAGCTCCGGCAGAAAAGTCCCAGGGCAGCCTCTAATCGGCCACACCAGGATCGTTTGTGCCTCCCAGAATGAGTCACTGTGGTCCCCTTCAGAGGGATATTCTGATTGGCTGGGCCTGGCACCGGACCAGTATCGAGGGAAGGTGGAGTTGCGTGATTGGCACGTCCCTCAGGATCACGAGGGACAGGTAGCAGCGTGTCAACGGAAGAGCGGATGCAGTCATTATCAGAGGAGGGAGATGCAAAGGCGCAGTGGCCCCCGGAGACTTTGGGAGCCAGAGTCCATAACAAGCATGGAATGAGGGCGCTCCCAGTGCGGCTCTTTCATGGAGACTCATTCCTGGGGCTCCTTTCCCAGACTGTGGGGCTCTCCCAGAAGGCCTGGCTCAGGCCAAGTTTGGGGTCCGTAGCCACACTGGTCCGGAGCCCCCATTGCCCTGTGACCCTTGTTTTTGTTCCAGCACACAGGAAGTCCTTCCTTCTTTCGCCCTCGAGTCCGGATGCATCACACACAGGGACACTTGTTTCAGGGGCTGGACTTGCAGATGGGGCACGGGCCTGGATGCATCGCACGCGCTCAGAAAGGACTCGCCTCGTCTGTGCTCCCTCCACGCCCGCCCCCACCTGCTGCACGGCCGGCCTGGCCGCGGACGAGGCAAGCTTGTTGAAAGGACGCTGGCCGGCGCCGGCGCACCGCAGGCAAGCGAGCGAGTGAGGAATGAATGAGTGCTTGGGTAGACTACCGATGGTGCTA